GTCCATGGGCGCATCTGCCACCAGCACCTCGGGGGCCTCTGCTCCAGCAGCCCCAGCGGCCGCCCCAGCGCCTGCACTGCCCGCTGCCGTGGCGGACACCTCCGCCGCCGTGTCGGTGTTCGTCGCCTTGCGCTTCTTGAGCTGCCTATCTTTTACCTTCTCCCGCATCGCCAGAACTTCTGCCCGCCATTTGCTGACCTGCTCCGCCTTGCCGACGACGGTGTCTCGAACCTGCTGCAGCTCCTTCTCCACGTTCCTCAGCTCCAGGCGCTCCTGCTCCGAGAGCTCCCCCATGGAGTCGAGCTGCTTGAAAAACTCTTCGTCCCAAGTGACGTTCATCATGGGTGGTGGGGCTGGTGCCTGGCCACAGCTGTCACTGGTCCCCGCACTCGTTGTAACCCCCATCTCGTGCGCCAGAGCCACCGCTGCCGTACGCTTGTTGATCACGGCCAGCGCCAGCGCACGAGCCGACTCTTCCTCTTTGGCGAGCGCCTTCTTGAGGTTCTCCTGAATCTTGGCAACCTGTGAGGCCGCCTGAGCATGCTTTACCGATGCGTCCTTCCACGCCCCCTCCGCGCGGCGGACTGCCTCGGCCGCGGAGACAGCAACGGCAGCGGGCGTCGCCGCCGCCTTCTCGGCCTCCGCGATCTGGTCTGCCAAGATCTGCCTGCTGATGGGATCCTTGAGTCGCCCCATGGCCGCAACGAGCACCTGGATCGTGCCCGCGACGTCCTTCTCAGCACCCTTCGCCTTGTTCTGCAGATCTGGCTGCTGTTGTGGGCCTCCACCGCTCTTGGGCTTCGGCACGTACAGCCTGACCGGTTTGTAGCACTTGTAGCACTTCCCTGAGTTCTTCTGAATCTTGTCGTTGAACTCCTGAGTGCCACATGACGCGCATGTGCTCCACGCTCTGGACATTGCCTGCTGCGTGCCGCACACGAGCGTCGCCTCGCTTTCGCCAGCCCAACTGTCCGCCCAAGGGCGAGCGGCAAGTGGGCTGCCCCCCAAGCACCACGTGGAGGCGCGAGGCTTGGGCTGCGAGCTGCCAAAATGGTGCTCGAGCCCAAGTTGCTTGAGCGGAGGAGGAGGAGGAGGAGGAGGAGGAGGAGGAGGAGGAGGAGGAGGAGGAGGAGGAGGAGGAGGAGGAGGAGGAGGAGGAGGAGTGGAGGCGGAGGCGGAGGAGATGAAGGAGGAGGAAGGAGGTGAGGAGGAGGAGGAGAGGAGGAGGAGGAAGAGGATGATGAGGAGGAGGAGGAGAGTGTGCGGAGGGTGGGGGAGGGGGCATGGAGGCGGAGGCGGAGGCGGCACGGCGGAGGCGGAGGCGGAGGCGGAGGCGGAGCGAGGCGGAGGCGGAGCGGATGCCGTGAGGCGGAGGCTGGAGGCGGATGCGGAGGCGAGGCGGAGCGTGGAGGAGGAGGAGGGAGGAGGCGGAGTGAGAGGAGGAGGAGGAGGAGGAGGAGGATGAGAGGAGGAGGAGGAGAGGAGGAGGAGGAGGGGGAGATGTAGGATGAGGGGAAGAGGAAGGGAGAGAAGAGGAGAGGAGGGGAGGAGGAGGGGAGGAGAGGAGGAGGAGGAGAGGAGGAGGAGCGGAGGGAGGAGGAGAAAGGAGGAGGAGGAGGAAGGAGGGGGGGGAGGGTGGTGGAGGACGCGAAGCGGAGGGGGACGAGCGAGCGATCGAGGGGGGGAGTGAGAAGGAGAAGGCCTTCTCAGAAGGCCTTCTCAGAAGCCCTCGCGCCTTCTGAGAAGCTTTCGGTGCTTTCGTGGAAAGCTCAAAGAAGCTCTCAGAAGATTTGGGGGCTTCCGAGCCTTCTGAGAAGGCCCGCACCTTCTCACTTCCCCCCTGGGCTCGTCGCCGAAACATGACATCCGCACTTGCACGTGCCTGGGCCTGTCTCCTCGCTGTCCACAAGCACGGTCGGACCGATGTACAAGATCGAGGTCGGCTCGGGGAGGGTACCTCAGTGTTCTTCGTGTTTGTTGGATGTAATTGTGCATCCCGTTGGAGGGTAACCTCGAATATTCTTGGTTCGACCAGCGGAGGATCTCATGTTCTTGCAGGATGTTCTTCTGTCCTAGGTCCGGCCGTAGTACAGTGGAGGCTCATGTCAAGAAACACCCTGCTTGCTTCCAGGGTGCCCAGGGTTTCTCGGGTTTCGATGGTTCTGCGATGGAAGGCGTGACGTTCCCACACCAACAATCATCGGACGTCCTGGGGTCTCAGGGTTGGATTTCGTGTGGAAGGTCTCTTGTGGCGTGGCCTCCACTGTATGGTGTCCGTGGTTCACGGTTGCTCGTCAGCCGTGCTGCCTTTGCTCTTGCACCCTTGCGCAGGCGCCGAAGGCGACGACCACCACGGCGAGTCCGGGCCCCACGGCGACCGCGGAGGCGGCGTGGACGTGTCACACCTACGTGGGCGTCATCGGCCGCGCGAACTGCGAGAAGGGAGCTGCCGATGGTACGCAGAGGAGAACAACACGCCCACGTTTCCGAGGGGGGGATTTATACATGACCACCGCCTGGAGGATCGATTTTCGGGGACCTCGACATGCGGTGGATGTGGACATCTTCGGGCCCCCGGGGGCCAACATATATCCATATTCACCGCCCGCTGGGGCACCATGACGTCGGTTCCCAGGCGGTGGATATGGACAAATTCCAGCCTCGCAACTTTTTTGCCTGCCTGTGTGGGCCCCCCAAGCAGTGCGTAATTCCATTATGTGAGTGCAGTGCGGTGCAAGCTGAATGATGCAATACTTGTGGCGTTATATGTCTCTCTCTCTCTCTCTCTCCTTCTCTCATTTTTTTTGTTCTCTCTCTCTCATTCTCTCTCTCTCTCTCTCTTACTCCAGCTGCCTACGGCAGTCCCGCCACCGTGCCTGGGTTGTGGGTTATAATCCTAGTGGGTGTACGTTGGGATCTCGTGGGAGGCCTCTCGGGGGCCTCTTGGAGGCAGTTTGGAGGCCTCCAGGGGGCCGTCTTGGGGCCTCTTGGGGGTCTCTTGGGGCCTCTTCGGGGCTTCTTGACGGCCTCTTTGGGCCTCTTGGGGCCTCGTGGCCTCCTCTGCGACCCACACAGCTTTTTTACTTGTTCCCCCTGTGCGCGTCCTCTGTTGCGCACGACTCCCTGTGTTGCGCATGGCTTCCTCGGCTCTAGCGCCCTCCGTCGCGCGTGCTTTCCAGCATGGCGCACGGCTTCCTCTGCTGTCCACGTGGCTTCCTCTGCTGCCCGCGTGCTTTCTCCAGTGTTCGCATGGCTTCCCCTGCTATTCCAATAGCTTCCAGTAGTCATCCCACTGGCGTCCAAACAGTCGCCCACAAACTGAGAAGTAGCAGCCAATCACTACTTGCCTCTGCAGGGGTCCTAGCGGATTCACATCGTTAGGTGAGGTGGTGGCGCCGATTTCGGCGGCACACCCGGGTGGCCGGGTGCCCGGTTGCCCTATAGCCCTATAGCCCTATAGCTCTATAGCCCTATAGTCCTATAGCCCTATAGCCCTATAGCCGTATTGCCCTATAGCCCTATAGCCCTATAGCCTTCTAGCTTTATAGCCCTACAGCCCTATAGACCTATAGCCCTATAGCTCTATACATTCCTACAGCCCTATAGCCCTACAGCCCTATAGCCGTACAGCCCCATAGCTGTATAGCCCTATAGCCCCATAGCCCTATAGCCCCATAGCCCTATAGCCCCATAGCCCCATAGTCTCATAGCCCTACAGCCCTATAGCCTATAGCCCTATGGCCCTATAGCCCTATATCCCTATAGCCCTATAGACCTATAGCCCTATGGCAACAATATTATGATTGTTTTTCCCAACCATCCTGTGGTGTTGGGTCCTCGTTTTTGAAGAGACGGTGGCCCGCGTCTCCTCTCCTCCTCCTCTCCTCTCCTCTCCTCTCCTCCTCCTCTCCTCTCCTCCTCCTCTCCTCCTCCTCCTCCTCCTCCTCCTCCTCCTCCTCCTCCTCCTGGCCCCCATTTTGGCACACCCTTCACACGTTTCGTGGCCCCATAGGGAGCTCCACCGAAGGTCCCAGTGGGTGTGCCCGCATGCGTCCCGCACACCCATTTCGGCCCACCCCTCACACGTTCCGCGGCCCCATAGGGAGCCCAACCGAAGGTCCCAGTGGGTGTGCCCGCATGCGTCCCGCACACCCATTTCGGCACACCCCTCACACGTTTCGTGGCCCCATAGGGAGCTCCACCGAAGGTCCCAGTGTGTGTGCCCGCATGCGTCCCGCACACCCATTTCGGCACACCCCTCACACGTTTCGTGGCCCCATAGGGAGCCCCACCGAAGGTCCAGTGGGTGTGCCCGCATGCGTCCCGCACACCCATTTCGGCACACCCCTCACACGTTTCGTGGCCCCATAGGGAGCTCCACCGAAGGTCCCAGTGGGTGTGCCCGCATGCGTCCCGCACACCCATTTCGGCACACCCCTCACACGTTTCGTGGCCCCATAGGGAGCTCCACCGAAGGTCTCAGTGGGTGTGTGCGCATGCGTCCCGCACACCCATTTCGGCCCACCCCTCACACGTTTCGTGGCCCCATCGGGAGCTCCACCGAAGGTCCTTGTGGGTGTGTAATTTCGGCACACCCTCACACGCTTCGTGGCCCCATAGGAGCTCTGCCGAAGGTCCCAGTGGCACAGTCCGCATGCGCCCCCGCCATTCATTTCGGCCCACCCCTCACACGTTTCGTGGCCCCATAGGGGCTCCGCCGAAGGTTCCAGTGGAACAGTCCGCATGCGTCCCCGCCACTCATGTCGGCACACCCCTCACACGTTTCGTGGCCCCACAGGAGCTCCGCCGAAGGTCCCATTGGCACAGTCCGCATGCGTCCCCGCCGCTCATTTCGGCACACCCCTCACACGCTTCGTGGCCCCATAGGAGCTCCGCCGAAGGTCCCGGTGGCACAGTCCGCATGCGTCTCCGCCATTCATGTCGGCCCACCCCTCACACGTTTCGTGGCCCCATAGGAGCTCCGCCGAAGGTCCCGGTGGCACAGTCCGCATGCGTCCCCGCCATTCATTTCAGCACACCCCTCACACGTTTCGTGGCCCCATAGGAGCTCCGCCGAAGGTCCCCGTGGCACAGTCCGCATGCGTTCCCGCCATTCATGTCGGCACACCCCTCACACGTTTCGTGGCCCCACAGGAGCTCCGCCGAAGGTTCCAGTGGCACAGTCCGCATGCGTTCCCGCCACTCATTTCGGCACACCCCTCATAAGTTTCGTGGCCCCAAAGGAACTCCACCGACGGTCCCCGTGGCGCAGTCCGCATGCGTCCCCGCCATTCATTTCGGCACACCCCTCACACGTTTCGTGGCCCATCAGAGCTCCGCCGAAGGTCCCAGTGGCACAGTCCGCATGCGTCCGCGCCACTCATTTCGGCACACCATAGGGAACTCCACCGAAGGTCCCCGTGGCGCAGTCCGCATGCGTCTCCCTTGCCCAGTACAGCGTTACGTGGCCCCATATGGAGCCCCACTGCAGGTCTCAGCCAGCCAGCTAGCTCTCTTTGCTCCGCGCAGCGGGCGACCCGCGCGCGTCGCTGGGACCCCTCCGGGGCGACCTGCGCGCGTCGCGGGGACTCCGCGCTGCGCTGCGCCCGCAGCCTTGGACTTTTGAGTGCGCGGGCCAAGAGGGAGTAAAGGAAGGGGAGGAAGCGGGCGCGATCCTCGCGGGGGGGCGCGCCGACATTGGCGTCGCGGCGCGCGGGCGATGCCGTCGGGGAGTCCCGGGGAAGCTCCTTGCGGGGGCCACGCCCAGCGTCACGAGTACTCAGAGGCAGTCGTTGTCAAACTATTGACATTCATATACAATTGCACCACGCTTTGCCATATTCGCATTCATGCACGTTGACTCGCTCGCACGCAGATTCATTCACAGTCAGACGCACGCGCGCAGATTCACCCGCGCTCGGTCTCCCTACGTACTCAGATCAATCGTTTTCGTTCGCGTTGTGTACCACGCCACTCATGTCGGCACACCCCTAGCACGGTTCGTTGCCTCATAGGGATCGCCACCGAAAAAGTGAATCACTATTGCGGTACTCGCACCTGCATATGGTTGGATCCCTCGTCAGACTAATTTTTCTCCGGTATCATTCTAGTGTAACAAGGTAGGGTAGAGTGGAGTAGAGACAATTCGACGAGTAGCGTAGAGGAGACTCGGAGTAGATGAGTGGAAAGTAAAGTAGAGCAGAGTAGGATCAGAGGGGAGTAGAGTAGAACAGGAGTAGAGGACAGGAGAGTAGAGTATAATAAAGTAGGGTCGCGTGGAGCAGAGAAGAGTAGACGTCGAGTATAATGGAGTATAATGAACTACAGTATAGTATGGTAGGGTAGGGTAGAGTGGGGTAGGATAGTGCAGGGCAGAACAGAGTAGATCAGAGTAGAGCAGAAATACAGCATACAATACTATAATCGAGTAGAGCATGGTATAACAGAGTATATCGGAATCGAGGAGAATTGACTTCGAGACGAGTGCAGTAAACGTGTAACCGAGTACGGGTAGAGTTGAGTAGGAGTAAAGTAGACTAGTGCCAGCTCGGGTAGGGTGGGTGTAGGGTAGAGTAGTTTAGGGCAGAGTCGGGCAGAATGCAGCAAAGCAGGGTAGATGGTATAATAGAGCCGAGCATACTAAAGTAGGACAGAACTTCGTTGAGTAGAGTCGTGCATAATTGAGTTGAGTCGAGTGGAGTAGGAGTAGAGTGGGAGTATAACAGCAGTGGAGCAGGGAACATCGGAGAGCATACCATTGCAGACCAGGGCATATCAGACTATGTTATAGTAGGTTAGGGCATGGCAGAGCAGAGTCGAGTATAATAGGTTAGGGCAGACTGGAGCAGAGCAGAGTGCAGAAAGGAATTGTTGACGTTCGATTACATTCTCGACCAGCATTCCTCACCCATATACCCCACGGCCCCTGCCAAGCGGGAAGCGACAGCGGAGGTGATAGTGGAGCGCCACGACATCGCCGTCTACCTCACCCCGGATTGCGCCAACGCCGCAGCCCCAGATGTCTACACAAAGCCAGCCACCCCAGCCGGAGAGCCGTCCCTCCCTACCAGCACCGGCCAGCCTGACCCCGATGGTGAGAGCAGCGGGCAAGACGCTGCCGCTCGGGACATCAAGTCCCTGTTCCCCTACATTTCCCCGCCGACGGGGCCCGCTTTACCAACCCGCTCTACCTCTGGGCTCACAGGACAGGATTCGCATAGCGCCCTACGTTCATTGATTAAGTTTCTGTTAGAGTGGAACCCCACTGTTTACGGGAAATGGATGGAGTACGTGGCGGAATACGGCGACGGGATACCGGGCAATAAGACCAGCGAGGAGTCTTGGCCCCCCAATGTGTACGCCACTTTCTGGTCAACATCTATGGGGATACGACCCCCGACAATTGCCACCCCCCTGGTATCCCATGGGACAGCCAGCGGGCTGCAGCGGCACGGG